ACAGTGTGCATGATGGCGTTCTCATAGAGCCTCTGCGCTGCTGGGGTGTCAGACACAGCGAGGGTGTCTTCCTTGGAGGGTTTTTCATTGAAGACGTCGCGTTCCTGCCCATGGCCCTGCGGATCATCCGGCTCGCGAGAGCTAAACAGATAAAAACGTGACTTTTTATATGCGGTGGCAATAAGTGTGGGGTCAGGACGAATAGCTTCCAATGTAGGATTATTGGAACCTTCAATTTCAAGCGTGACTGCTGCTTTTCCTCGACGTCCTGAGCCTTGATGAAGGGCGATGTTCAATAGGCGTAAGTTCTCGTTCTTGCCGACGATACGCACCAAACGGTTACTGTGTAAGTTGACAAGTTTGACACCTAGTAAAGTTGGGTAGAGCAAGAAGTGACCAGAAGCGTCGAATAGTACATTACTCGACGTTGCTTGTTCGGACTTCTCCAAGTCCCGCTCAACTGCCATACGCCGTCCAAACTCCATGTTAGGTAGTAATTGTTTTGCTGTTTGCAGTTCAGTAAAACGCGGCAAAGTCTCATCAAGCACCCTGTGTAATCTCCCAGTGAGAAAATGGAAGACACGTACTTTGCGGTCACTGCTAGTCGTGGCAAACTTACGACCATCCGGTGAGAACGCCAACCCCGAGATTGTCGCTTTATTCTTGGCAAATTCAAACAAATCAGTATCCAATTTTGATTTGAATGCTAGACACTTAGGAGTAGCAAAACCGCCGCGCTGTCCACTCCAATACTCTAGCATATGCAGTCCATCAAAGCTAAGTGCAACATCAAATGTGTTGTTATACTTGATCAACGAAACGGGTGCGCTGTGCATCTTCTCCAGCACTTCCAGTGGAACATTCGCACCCCGTCCGTCATATACATGTATTCTGCTGGTGTCAGCATCAGCTACAGCAAGTGCATGCACTGCATCACCAGATCCGTGCACCCATTCTGCACAACTCGGTATATAATCAAGTCGCATCATATTAATCATGTCAAAGTTTACAATATCGAATATTTTCAGTGATTTATCCACCGCGGCGGAACATAACAACGTACCCTCTGGGTTAGCGGCGAGGCTTTTAATAGGCGCCAAGTGACTTCGGAAGTGTTTAACGAACTCGATACCATTCTCGACTTTCTTCCAGAACTTGATGTGCCCATCGCAGCTGGCGGTAACTACAAAATCAGTAGCCGTTGATAAACAGTGCGTGATTGTGTCCCGGTGCATGTAGCTTCTCTCGTAAGACTCGCCGGATGGAATGTTCTCTAAATAAAGAGATTCGTGCGGTAGTATTTT